CAATGCCGTCTCGAAAAATCAATCATCGTCCGCTCCGTTGCTGACCGATATATCGCGGCGAAATTTATGAACCGCGTTCCCATTAATCAATACTATCGGGTCGCGTTCGTAAAAATCGCAGATTCATTTCTGCTGAAAGGGGGTTCGCGCGCATAATTGCATGAGGGGGGCAAAGGAAGAAAAGAAAGAAAGAAAGAAAGAAAGAAAGAGAGAGTGTGCGTGAGAGAGAGAGAGAGAGAGAGAGAGAGAGAGAGAGAGAAAAGACTGGGCACAATTTCGATTTTCATACCACTGAGATGAGGAAGGGGACGAAGAACACGACGTCCACCGGTGCGCGGTGGTCGAACTCGCGAGATACCGGGACGATCATCTCCGCACGTCCGACGATTCCTGATTTATGAGCCGAGCAACGTGCACACTTTTCAAAACTTTATCTCCACGCGAAGCGTTGGGGTGGTGCAACGCTAGTTTCTCGCGTGTCCGTGCAATTGCCCGGCACTGGCAATTATCGCGATGTCTGTGAGGAACATCGATCGGTCGTACATGTCGCTTTGGAATCTTTCGACGTCTCCCTTGCGTCCCTTCCAACGGAGAGAATCTTTCTTCCATCTTTCCTCCAATTGTTTGCAAGGTTCGTAGGAATATTAAATGACAGTACGGGCTGATGAAGGGCAAAAATTTTTGGGCGGAAATTTCACTTGGACTTTTAGGCATTTCTATGCGTTTAAAACGTCAGAGGGTTGGTCAATTTAAATAGAAATACACTATTCTGGACATTTCGTGTCTTTTTTTCATGTTATATGCATCATGCTGTATGCATTTTCAAACTTTCCAAGAATCTGCAGTCTAGTTGTTAGACTGATGTATGTGAGATTTAAAAGATACCAAATAATTGTATATAATATCCAAGTTCAGCGCTTAATATTTGGTACGTGTAAAATTTTCTAGTTCTATTTTTTTTTTTTTTTTTTTTTTTAGTTTTTTTCAAAGGCATGGATTTGAAAAATCCACTAATCAATGGACCAAATGATTAGTGGAATATGTTAGGCATAAAATTTCCGACGGAGTTATTAAAATTAAAAAAATCTTTATAATACAATTGAGTACACGAGCTTTTGCTTGTACAATTTAATAAAATCATTTAAACCTCCAAAGATACACTGTTTTACTAATTATAAATTGATCATTTTGATAGTTCTACTATTAAACTTAGCGATTCTTGTAACACCTTATGAATTCAATTTAAAAGTTCAGTGCAAAAATCTAAAGTTAACCTCTATAATCAATAATTCTGTATCAAAGACTGAGTGATTATTTCATCACAAAGCAATTAACGTAAAAAACTGAAACAGCTTTATTATAAAACAGCTGAAACACAAAATTGGTAACAATTAGTAAACAGTCGTTAAACTACTAGTTTCACTAGTGAAATCTTTTTAGCGTACGTTAATGTAATTTCCAGCATCGCGTCGCGGGCTGCAGATCTTCAAATTAAATTCGCAAAGATAGTAAAGCAGGCGCTAACGCTTTGAGCGTGAAACAAATTCAACAATACCCAGACGCTAATTAACAAGCCTGTACGCACTTTCTCCGGGCGGACGCGAAAATTTCTCCGCTCGATGAGGCCACCGCTCGAACGCGAAATTCACATAGCCTAGACTCGCATCGCGGACTAATTGCGCGTATAAATACCTGGCCCGTTAACGCTCGATTCCAGGCGTATGTTGTCCGCGAATTGTCTCGGTAACGAGCCACGACCGAACGTATGAGCATCTGCTTTTAGCTTAATGCTCCATTAAGGGAGCACGGCGGAGGCAGGCGGCGAAAGCCAGGATTTGCAAATAGGCCGTAAGCGGTAAACTGGCCGCTTTATCGCTTTATCTTGCAATCTAGCTCGTGGAAAAACCAGTCGTTCCGTGTTTAATTTCTTTATATTCCCTTTCTCTCTCTCTTTTTCTCTTTAAATAGCTACTTTGAATGTTACGACACAGAGACACGTTTCTCTTTTTTTTTTCTAACGTCATGTGTCTAAACAGAGGAATGTGATATTCTTGAATTACTAGATCTTGCTAATGTAAGTATTAACCCTTCGAGTAATCGGCAGCAAAGTGACACTACTAACTCACACCGATACTTCACTAATAGCGGTTCAAGCTCGAGACATCCGCCAATACTGTACGATTGTTCGAGCTCTAGATGTTACTATAGTATAATGTAATAGATTTCGAGCTCTAGACGTTACAGTAATACAATGTAATAGATTTTCGTTGTATGTATACAAAAAAATAACAGACTGGTAAAAAAATTATATGTATTGCGAAGTGTTGCATTCATTACATATAATTTTTTTGGATTTCTGTTGAGTGGGCATTACAAACACATTTCTTTCGCATGAATCGCACACAGGCGAGTATCTGCTATTACTTCCTATACAGAAACAGCACCTAGCACGCTTATTGTAATAAAAGAATGATTGTATTTCACTAACTATACAAATACTGCGTGTACGATACGAGTCTGGGAGATGTGTACTGCTTCTCTCTTCATGAAAGACTGACTGACTGTTGCTACGTGACTTTTTGCAGCCAGCCAAGGACCCTTTTTCCTAGACTTGGCTTTATTTCCACCCTTACCGAGAATACCAGGATATCTGGAAATTCTCGGCAAGGTCGAGCTGTGGTGGGGACGGTGCCATTTTTCGCCTCACACAAATATATAGCTTCTCACTGTGTGCGTAATCGTTTTCAAAAACGACACGGTACGACGAGTCACCAGTGACTCCGGCATGGTATTCGCAGGGTTAATTGAGAGGTTCGGAGGAAAGCTGGTGTACAAGTAACGAAAGTTTTTAATTTGACACGAACGTAGGTAAAGTATGATGAAAGTCGAATTAAAGAAAGTTTTTTTTCTGCCTCTGAATATCAAAAGATGCGCTGGTAAGTCGTGTATGTTTATTTGATACGAATGTAGATAAAGTATCACGAGGCTAGACATTACGTGTTTTTAGGTTTTACTAACAGGTTCAGAAAAAGAATAATATACAAGTAATGAAATCATTAACCTGTGAACGAAGATCAAATATTATAGAAGGGTATATATTCTAGTTGGGTAACAATATTTGAATGCTATTCATTATATGTACTGACACATTATTAGCTGTAGAAATTACTTCAGTGTCTTTACATTAAATTTTAAAACGATAATAATAATATACAAAATAATAATAATATGATGCAGTAATATATAACACAATACAAATATATAAACGACCTTAATTGTCAATATGAAAATCTTTCAATAATAATTTAGATGTGTCTTTCCCATCAATCGTGATCCAAAGAAAAACAACTTGAAAAAGAGCTAATAAATAAATAGATTTTAAAGCTAGATTAAAAAAAATATATACATATCTAGAAAAGGCACTGAATTAATTTCTAGACCTGATATTCTATTATCTCCAAGTGTAACTTCGTAGAAAGGAATGCAGTTAGTCGTGCCACTTTACGACCGAACCCCTCAATTAAACGTTAATTGAATAATTGAACTAACAAACCAAAAAACTCCAGAATCATTCACCTATTGTGTCCTCAGCTCTATCATCCTACGCTCCATTCTTTGGAGAATCCAACAGCAATCAAGAATCCTCTCTCTCTCTCTCTCTCTAGTCGTTCAAGTGATTAGAGGAAAGCCAGCCAGCTCGCATGACGTAGCAACGCGATGCACCATACACACACCGTGAATTTGCAACGACCCAACCGTTATTTCTCCCTGATTTCCTCTGCTATTTTCCGTTCGTTGCAACTTGCTCGCGTTGTTACATCTTTCGTGGCACGTTACTCACCGTTGGCTGCATCCGCGCACGTCAGAGGAAACTTTAACCAGTCACTTACCTACAACAGAGAAGAAGAAAAACAATGGTTAATTGATAGTTGAAGCAGAGAGACATTGCGTTACGATGCGAATTCCTTTGTGCTGCGTATTATTGCTGCTGCGCCCACGGTAAAAAATGGAAAGAAAATATTGCGGCTCGGTTCTTGTTGTTTCTGAAGCTTTACGGCGAGTTTGATATAATGTTTGTTCTTCTAGAAGAACGTTTACCGAGGAAGATAAACGAAGGAACAGAGTTCAACGAGCGTGGATAAATTTCTGAGTGAAAATCAATTGACTCGACGAGAATTCATTTCACTAACGGAGTAAATTTTTCAGTTTAAAAAAAAAATGTAGAAAGTTTAAGAAAGTTTGAAAAAACAAAGTTTCAGTTTAAGAAAAACACGGAATTTTTTATAGCAAACGTGCTGCGGAATGTGCTTCTCTATAAAGTTAGTCGATCGAGTCCAACACGGAAACATCCATGAAATTTAATTTTTACAGCACGCGCTGCTGAATTTAATTTACTCGATGAAAGTTAATCAATTGGATAAGAATTTTTTAATTACGAAACAGAATGTTATTTAAAAAAAAAAAAAAATACATAAAACATGAAATTTAATTTACACATACTACTCACTTTACTTCTCAATAAGAATTAATCGATTGAATAATCATTTTAATTGTGAATCAGAATATAATTGTTTAGAGAAATGGAACACGAAGGTCTATAAAATTTAATTTTCACACCGCTGTTGATTTTTCCAATAAAAATCAGTCAAGTGAAACACTCCTCATCCACGAAATAGATTTTTATTCCAAAAGGGAACAGCCGTCGAAGCACGGTCTGTAAAGTTTAATTTTCGCGCCACGTGCTACCGAGTCTGAAGAAAACTCAGTCGAGTGCAGAGGAATTCTTTATGGAACGTGGAACAACGTTCTACCTGCTCCATTACAAACCAAACAAAAATCACCGCATCATCATCATCATCATTATCATCATCATCATCATCATCGTGCAACGCAATTATTTCGAATTTCAATGAACAACGCTCGTATCGTATCTCACGTTCCTGCAGGATATAAAACACAGCGAACGGTGAAACGATAAGATCTGCATCTAAGGTAATCACCTTAACTGTTCCGAACGTGATGCACATCTTCGCTGGCGCCGCGTGGTCGTGCTCGCCGCGCACACCATGAAAAAAAGGACACACACTCGGCGACGAGAGGAGTGACAAAGTGTTACGAACAGCGTGGCGAGATAATTTCAAACGAACCAAGAAACGAAACAAACAAGAAAAAGAGAGAAAAAAAAAAAAAGAAAAACAGAAACGAGAGTGAGAAATAAATGTGAAACGCGCACTCGAAGATTTATCAGGCAGTTATCGCGACGCGAGTCGGAATCGCACTGAGTTTTAGACGCATCGGTTACGTGACATCTGGGTTCGAAGACTCGAGGCATTAAGAGGGTAGGGATGCTCGGTTGGTTTCCGATTGGACGGTTCGACAGGAAGGTCGTGACGGTTCCCTCGGCTCGGTTCTCAACTTTGAACCCCCCAAAAGACGCGGCTATTTTCGTCGGCCAAGGGTAGCCACCGCCTATGGCGAAGGACCGGCACGGGATTCGAAAATAGACACATCGTGAGAAACACGGCGGAGGGACACGTCCTCCGCGCCCTTCCGCTCATCATCGACGAATTTTTCCAACAACTCTTTCGGAAAATGTACGTGCACAAGTACCACGGAGTGTTTCGTAACCCTGTACGCGATGCTTCGAGACTTATTTCGGGGGTGTGAGAAAGGTTATTGGTGCCCAAGAACCACAAACACAGGTAGAATCTATTATAACAGAAGCGTTGGATGGGAATAGACATTGTGAGAAACACGGCCTTAACCCTTTGACTTATGACTTGGGAATGATTTCACGCGTTCGTCACAGTAAATCTTTCCAAGCCTCTCTCAGAGAATACGTTTACAAATATACAGAATGCTTCGTAATTAGTATACGATGTTTTAATGTTAGCATAAAGCGATTATTAACCCTGGGTTCGGCGATTCTTGTCCCATTTAGACGAACACATTTCGTGAGACGAATAGTTTATTAATTCTTTCCGCTATTAATGATTTTCTGCTCGTGAGTTCACGTTCAGATAAGCGGATCCAATTAGCAAGAAGTTATTTAACAGGATTGAAATTAAAATAGACTAAAACAGACTACTAGTCTTATCTAAACAATGACTACGTCGTTGATACAGCGTGTCATCAAAATATTCGTACCCCTCTAATTGCCTTCGAACAACGTTTCACAATATACAAAATTCCAAAATTCCTTTCAACGATGAATACCGAAATACCGAGCGTTAATTAGCATTCTCGCAAATGTACAAATTTGGGGAGACACTATCGTTCAAATCGTTCGAATTTGGCGAATTTTCAACAGGACAGTAACTCAAGTAAAATTTCTTTCGTAAAAGAACAAACATCGCTCAGATGTTGCAAAATGCCTCGAAAAGAAAATCTCCCCAGAACCGACAACAGCGACCTTCCCTCGGGTAACACGTATTAATAGTGATGATGATGTTAGCCGAGCATCAACCACTCTGACTCGAGGTGGCCTCCCACGCTCGAACCGTTTGATCGCGGGGAACAAATGTGAGAACACGCGAGACCGAGACTCTTTCCCGTGTCTTCTAATATTATACAAGCGTTTATTACACGGCCGTGCGCAGCGCGCGGAAATTGCTGGATCTCCGAGCGAATAATTACGAATTTACGCGCAGTGGTAAAATGGACGTCCGCCCCGATCGAACGCGAGACGCTCGAATCATTTTTCTCGTTCGCTCTCGCCGGCCGATATAACGGCATGCACGTTAATCCGCGAATCACCGTTAAATGCGTGCTTACGCTTGTACGATCGGCGTAATTAGCGGCGTGCCGATTCTTTGGGTCAATCACGTGCCGATGCATGCAAATGCGTTAATGGCCGCGCATCGTTAACATCCGTCTCGGTTCGAGGGAGCCTCGATACAAGTGCTTCGAGGATAGATACAGACATCTACCCTGGCAAAAAAAAATATTTGATATCGAGCCATTAAGAGCGAACGTATGTATTAACGTTGCGTGTCGAATTGCAATTTTTTCCTTTTTCTCTTCTTTTTTTTTTTTTTTAATCAATTTAGATACACTGTCGAATACTGAATACCTCTTCTTTTTAACGTTGAGAATTGGCTCGATACGATTTTTCGTCGTATCGGTTATTTCTTCCATTTAGATTCTATGGTTTTTGTGTAATTTAAAGAAAAAAGAAGTATCTGCAACAGCGCGATGAATTGTTGTTTGGTTTCTATTTGGTTTTAATTGAATGAATTCTTCTCGGAAATGTTTCTTTTGGGATAATAATAATACAAAGGAGATGAGTTCGAGCAAATAATCTATACGGTATCCTAAATATTTTATTTCTTTGCAGTTTCACAAAATTATAGGATAAAATTACCTTTCATAGTAGTAATATTAAAAAACCGAATTTCATAACATAAATCGATCGATAATAGTAAACGAAATGTTCAATGCGTTAACGCATTGATCTTGATGTTGGGTCAAAGAAATATCTATAATTTAATACTTAAGCTATCAGCAATATCTATATCTATAATTTAATACTTAAGTTATCATTATTCAAGCAATCAGAAATATCTATAATTTAATGCTTAAGTTATCATTATTCAAATGTGCAATTTACACCGAAGGAACTAAAAACGAAGGTTGTATTAAAAAATATATACACTGGAAAACAAAAAACATGAAGAACATCGTTAGAAAAGTACCTGAAATTTCCACGAAAAATATTCATCTAGTTTGCAATTTTCAAAAATTGAATTTTACGTAAAAATCTGTACCCCCCTTTATTGCGTGGAAAGGAAGAGAGAAAAATGAGAATCCTTGGGAGGGTAAATTCTAAGCAAGCCATTGCTATCTTGTCACAAAAAAAAAAAAGCGACCACCAAGGTGCATGCAGGAAAACCGACACGACGATTTTCCCGTAGTTTTGGCCGCACGTGCTGGGTATTTGTTCAGTTGTCAGTCCTCTGCCGCCATTGCCGTGCACCTTTCGGGCACGAATTAATTAACCCAGCCGTCTAAAGCCCCTCATTATCCCATTGCTCACGTAGCCTGCAACGATTCATCGTTCCGTTTAAACATCGCTCGTGCCGAAGTGAAAATTCACGACTCTAAAATGGAAACTGGAGGATTCAATTGCATTTTTCTGTTACACGTGGCGACCATGTGCTAAATTCTAAACTAATCAGAGGATGCCCTTGGCTAGCTTCTCTTAACGAGTTCTTCTTAACTTTATCCGAGCTGTTCGGACGCTCACAAACTGATTGACACCGCAAACCGAGAAGCAGAAAAGATTGATGGCGTTGCGAGCATTATTTATAGAATTTGTTTGAATTTATTTGAAAATCCTTCGATACAAAGATTTATGTACATATGTACATATAATGTACAGAAGAAGAACTGCAGAGGATACGAATAAAAGCGAATGAAATAAGAGTTAGTAGAAAATCAGTAAATTAGATTATTGAATTAGACACGAGGAACATTCAATTATCCTGACAACAAACAATCAAATTGGGATAGTTTAATAGTCCAAGCATTTGATTCTTGAAAGATATAGATATACATATATAGAATACATAGAACAGAAGCAGGAAAAAAATTAAATCTTGATTTGTTGATTAATAACGAGAGAAAAAGAAGCACTAGGCGCATTTGTAAGAAAATTATAATGCACAAGTGTACAAAATATAGAAAGAATATTTTTTGAATATTTCCCATATTTTAAGTTACGTAGAAACATCACTGGAAGACGTTTATGCATCGAAATTCAAATTTGCAAAAATATTTAAAAGTACTGCTCTGATATCTGCAGGAACATACGAAAATTCGATTTCTTTGTTTAATAATCATCAAGAATTGTTAAGTGTACTTACTCGCGTGCTTCGCTTCTGTAGTAAATGAAAGAATATTTAACACTCGCCGACCCGAATTAATTAATTATTAATTATTAATTCCATCGCTTTTGACGGGTCACGCAGTCATTTTCGAACGAAAAGAACCTTCTTTCTTCATTGAGAGCCTCACTTGTCCGTCTGTTTAACTTTATTTATGTTTTTCTCTGTTGAGTTCTTCCGGCGTGACGCGACACACCGACGCGGAACGTGATATATAGATATACTTCGCCTTCGAATGGAATAAAATCCACGTCCCTAAGGACCCCTGAGCGAACCTCTTGACGGACCTCGTGGGCCGCGCGCGACATTTACGACGATTTTTATAGTTTCCTCCTGCGACACCATCGCAACAGCACGATAAAAAAGAAAAGGCACTCGAAAAATCTGTCTGCTCGTTGCTTAAAAGCTTCTCTCTCCCTTCCGCCACCGTACCGGAGAGACTCGTAAAGTGAAATACGCGAACCCTCCTGCGACTCTGTTTCGCAAGCTCTTCTTCGTTTTTTCACCTTCATTTCGCTTTTTAAACCAGCGCGTATATTTCGGGGGGGAAAAAGAAGAAAGAGAAAGAAAGGAAAGAAATTTCGCGAAGGGAGATTCTTATCGTTTGTCTTGTGAAAAGAAAGAAAAAGAAAGAAAAAGAAGAAGAGATGTTTGCGATTTCAGAGTGCCGTGTATCATTTTCATTTAGCGATACTGAGTGTCTTCGTTTGTTTCTTTTTAGTTCGTTAAGGATCAATCGTCCATTTATATTATCAAATTCTGTTCCTTGGTACGCAATGAAGCTCCAAGCACTTAATATTTTTCTAGATTATTATCTTGAGCTACGAAATTTTACGAAATTTCACTCTCTCTGTAAGTTGCTGATTCATTTTCTATATTACTTTTGTACACATGCACTTTACTGCGATCCTCGTGCCCTCCATTATTTTTATCTACAGTATATAACGTGTTCTTAGCTAAGATTATTGAAACTCAACAAACGATTTTCTGATAAGTATGTTTATCATGCCCTGACAGACGTGTGATTGAAAGTACGATAAAACTTTTGAAATATTATCGTATAATACAAAGAAAATGGATTCCTTGTGTTTTAAATTCCTTCTGACTCTATTATAGTGCAAATTATTGCATGGACCCATTTTAATGGATCCAAAAGACTGGAGACTTTAGAACAATTCATTGGCTAGCTAAATAAATATTAGACAGCCTTTTCTTTCAAAATTCAGTGACGTATTTGAACTTTTAAATCTATCATTCCTTCATGTTTCACAATTAATTCAG